AACGGCTCCTTAAAAATGGAATGGTCCCTCATTCAGAGAAATTATTACACGTTTCGTGTTGAGCTGAGAAGAGACTCAGTTTGTCCTGGACTTCAGCTACAATGAAAAAGACACAAAGCTGGAATTTTTCTGTCTTTGCTGCACAGCTGCCTCTTCTTCTCTCATTCTCTCCCCTCTCTCTCCTGTTTCTACTTCAATCATGAAACTGATCAATGATCAGCTGATCGTCTCTCTTGTTTGTTTATCGCTCACTTTGCGCCAGAAAGAGGAAACCAGCGGATGTCGCGCTAAACAACAGCAGCACGTTTAAGCTTGATCAGCTGTTGTTAGAATTTAATATTACTTTCTAGTATCAGCTGATGTTGGTTTGGTTATCTGGTGAGAGGGAAACATGAAGATGAAACCAGGAGACGTCCTTACTGGATCATCAGAGCTGTGATGGAGAAACAGGGTTACCTTTTAGGTGACATGGATGAGTTGAAGTTATGAGCTGTTTCTGAGAGACAAATAACACCAGGATCCTTTTCTATGTAGCTGACAGCTGGTAACTGTGCAGGGGCGGGTCTAGCAAAGTGTTGCCAGGGGGGCAGGTAGGGCATTAACAGGGAGAGGTGGGCACAGAGAAATACTTTCTTATTATCATTTAAAATATCTAGCTGTTATTAAATAATTATCTGAGTCTTGCAAACAAAGTTTTTATCTGACGTAAAATGTATAGAAATCATACATATACCAACAAGACTGTACATCACTGTCACAACAGCGTCTGTTTTCATTCAAAGGCTTTATGGCTTTAATACCTGGGGGGCCGGTCTTTAGTCAAAATGCCCGATTTTCTGTCCCAGTCCAGCCCTGCAGGTTAATACTGGCAGTGTCACCATGCCAGCTGACTGTATTTCATCATCAGCCAGTGTTGTTCTTTATACATCAATATTACCAAAGTTTACCATAAGGCAGCATAGCAAGTATTTACTTGCTTTCAGGTTTCATTCAAATGTTAGTCTTTTCAGTTGATTCCCCACTTTTTTCCTGTTTCAAAATCAAACACCAGTTTGTGAGAAGATTATCTTCTTTTTTTAATAGGCAGATAAAGTTAACATAATAATAAACACTGACAAAGCACTGATTGTATCTCTTGTACTTTATCAACGCAGTATCTAAAAACTTTGCACCGTAGTGGTTAAAATCTCATTCTAATAAGAGTTAAAAGCGCATTCGGTTATCAGGTCTACAGGGTTATTGAATTATGGTTAACGGTTGGTAGATTTTTTTTGTTAACATTATCTGCCAATTACATCTGCCACCCTTCTCCAAATCTGTGCCCCTACCTGGCCCCCCCAACAAAAATTTTCTAGACACGCCACTGTTCTTTCTAGGTTAAAATACTGGGTTCTCATACTTAATGAGATGCAAAACAATATCTGACTTTTATGTGTTTTTTCAAGATTGTTGGACCCCAGTAGGACCCCAGTAACCCTATCCTGGGCGGGGTGAACTGCTCCCTTGGTGTTCTACTCATTGGGGTATTCTGAATCGCTCTTTGTCTGTTCCCTCACTCAAGACCAGTTTGCCATGGGAAACCCTACACGAGACAACGTAACCAATGGAATTCCTGGGACAAGAAAACCCTTTCACCACGATAAGGAAGCGAATTGCAGAGGGGATGAGTCGGGCATCTCACAAGGATGCCTCCTGGGTGAGGTGTTCTGGGCATGTCCCACCAGGAGGAGGCCCAAGGGCAGACCCAGGACACATGGAGAGATTATATCTCTCGGCTGTTCTGGAAATTACTTAGTGTTCCCCAAACTGGAGGAGGTGGCTGGGGAGAGGGAGGTCTGGGCTTCTGTTCTCTTAGGCTGGAAAAGCTGAAGAAGATGGATGGATGGATTTCTTTGTAAGTAAGAAAACTTACACATTCATTACAGGATCAATTAATTCTTTTCCCCGCTGTACCTATTTTAGTGGTATTCTAATCTCAATCCAGCTAGCCAGCATTTGTACCTGACCTGTTTCACAGCACTTAGCAATGCAAAATATTACTGTTGAGTCACTCTCAGCAGCATCAGTCTGACAGCCAGTTGCCAGGAAAATGCCAAAGGGGAGGATTCTGTGCAAAGGACAAGGATGATGACTACACAAAGGCAGATTGCATAATGATAAAACAAACACAAGTTGTTTCCATTATTATTTATCACATCCCCCTCTTTCCACTTTGTTCTTTTCCCTGCTTCTGATATCACTTTACTATTTAATCACTCCTTTTTTTCCCTCCTTCTCTTTTTTGTCCTTTTGTCCTGCTCCACCTCTTACCTCTCACTCTCAAACAGGGCTTTTAATGGCAGGACAAAATTGCCAAAGCATCATAATGCACGTGCTTTTTAAGACTCTTTATGCCCTCCTTCCTTTCCAATTACTCCTTCTGTTAGGTCATTTGTTCTTTCCCACGATCTTCCTTACTTTCTCTTTGTTGCTTTTACCCCTCATCTCCTTTAAACAATTATTTTTACTGCTGTCCTCCTTGCTTCTTTTCTGCCTGCAATCATTATCTGCCCTTTCTTATTCCCTCCTCTCTTATTCCTCTGAGCCTCCAAGGAAAGCACCCAGTTGCCAGAATGATGTATCCTAGCAACAGTGACATCCCACCCATTCAGCATCAAGATGAGACAAATTTAATTTTTGGATGAAGAGGGAAGAGATTGTGATTGGACAGAGTGGAAAGGAGAGTAGAGGAGGGGGTTGAAGGGATACCCATCAGCTGATAATGGATCAGCTTTTAATGTCAGTACCCCATCTTCAATCTTAGCATTCAACAGCACTGCATGGGTGGCAGCTTTACTCAGATGCTTTCATTGAACCTAGTCCATGAATCCCTTGTTCAGTATTTTGCATAAGACAGTAACCACTAAGCAAAGAAATAATTAGCTCAGAAGCATAATACCCAAAGATACTTTTTGTTTGTTTGGTTTTGCATGAACAGGAACTCCTACTGGCAAATAAACAGCTCTTTCCAAAGATGCTGAAAAGAAATTCTCACTAGCTTGAATGAGCATTAAAAATGTCCCCTGGTTGGGAAGAAAACAGAAAGGCTGTGCTAAAAGATAAAGACTGAAAGCAGTGGTGGTTCCTTACTCTAGGACTACTCTGTAGTCCAGATGTCAGTGTACTGGTAAAAGTAAAATCCATTTGAAGAAGGTCAGCAGCTTGTTTGTACATATTTGATTGTCAGTTTGTTCAATCCTAGAACAAAGAACTCTCCTTAAAAATATACAGTATATCAAACTTAACACAACATAAACATGAGCAGCAGAACTTTAGTTAGTGGTGAAGGAGGGCTTTCCTTGTTTTCCCATATAAAAAATAAAGTTGGTAGGATCCAAAGACCACTACAATGCTTATTCTCTTTTTTATTTCAATTGCTAGACTCGTAAATGTATTTTGATACATGAAAAGGATAAGCGGAAGTGAATGGATGGATGGATGGATGGATGGATGGATGGATGGATGGATATTGATATTATCCAGACACATAAAGGATTTATGCATTTAAAAAACAAAAGCAAGGTCTGCCTCAAAAAGCACTGGATCATCAGTGTCTGGTGTGAGTTAGTTATAACTGTCTATCTGCTCTCAGACATGGGCTTTTGGGTCCTGTTGAGAACTTTGAAAGCAAGAAAAGTAAGAAGCACATCCCATCTTTGCTTTGAAAGATGAGGTAAAGAAGAAACTTAAGAATTTGAGGAGAAAACCGTTAAAATTCAGTAGATCCTGAAGAGAAGAGAAGAGAAGAGAAGAGAAGAGGAGAGGAGAGGAGAGAAGAGTGTTCTGGAGGTACTTCCTAGAATATATAAACACAGTGTGCAGAAGGTAAATTTTTAAGGTAAATTGTAAATGGACTGTTACTTATATAATGCCTTTTTGCTCTAACAGAGCATGCAAAGTGCTTTTCCCCACTAACCTCATACAACCAAACACACACACACACATTTATGCCGGTGCTTGTTTCTACCCCTCAGCCCCTTGACTAACATTTGTGCACAGATTCACACTCCGACTCTGGGTTTAGTATCTTGCCCAAGGATACTCTGGCATGCAGCTAGAAGACTCAATCCACTGACCGGGTCAGAAGGTAAAACAGGCTGACACTGGCTCTTTTGTTCCATGTAAAAAACATAACTCCTCTAATTATCTCTGCCAATAACAATACATAGCTGGCTAATGTGTCGATCTCTTGAAGGACAGATCAAGATGCCAGAAATAATTACTTTGATAGTATTCAATATAACTTGATCAAATACGCCAAGAGGAGAGCCTTATTATGTAAAAAGTGAAGATACTGGTTGTGGTCTAATCTTGAGTCGTATTGTATCATTATATCAAGAAGCCTGTAGCTTTGTTCCACAATTGATATTAGCAACAGGAAGTTAGCATGGTGCTAGTAAAGCTTGGACACAAGCCTCTGATTTTAAAAGGGTGCGTCTGTTTTGCATATGTTAACAGGGAGATTGGGCTGGACAGCTGAGCATTGCAGTGAAGACTGAAGGCAGGAGGAGGGGAGCTGTGACACTGAAATGCCAAAGCCATGAATGAATGAAAGAGCTAAAGATTAGGGAAACAGTACAGATTCCATCTTCAGCTTAATATAGGTTCATATATAATATATATTGTAGAACTGATCTCAACCAGGGTTTTTTTTTGTTTCATTGCCTGATTTTGACCCAAAAACATTTGATTGTTTGGTTGCTTCGTTTATTGTCTCGTTCTCTATATTCTTGTCTTTTGGGTAAGAAGACAACTCAAAATCTACAGCTAGGAGTGAGAAACTCCTGGTGCTGGTAGCAGGGCTGTTATGTAATTCATCTGAAATAATATTGTTCACATTGTGTCAAAGAGCACTATGTCTTTAAAATGATGACAGTTTACCTGCAGTGAGAGGCGGAGCTTCATTGGAAAGAAGGAAACATGAGAACATGACTGAAGGAAAAATGAAAGTAAACACAAGACTCATCTGAACCCAAGGTGAGGCTGATCCTTACAACTCTCTGAAAAACTTCCAGTAAAGTGTCGCTGACACGACTAAATCTTCGACAAGTACGCGCAAGTAGAGATTTTTTTTAATCCAAAGAGCTGTTTAAACAGCCAGCATTCACACATATTCAGCATATTACAAGATGTGAATCTGTCTCCTGAATAGTTTTGCTTTTAAATAATTTCCCCCAGGGATCAATAAAGTATTCTGATTCTGATTTCATTCTTAATTCAAAGAAATAAACTCATAGAATTCTTTGAAAATTGTTCAACAAAATGTTGGTGCATACTTTAAAACGTTTTAAATTTACTGCTGCCAGTCACACTTTCACTTTTGCTCTCAGCGTGACACCATGGCAACCAGCTATCTGTCTGAAGATCAGTTTCTGTGCTCCATCTGTCTGGAGGTCTTCACTGATCCAGTCACCATCCCGTGTGGACACAACTTCTGCAAGACCTGCATCACAGAAAACTGGAATATTAGTCTCTGCTGTCAGTGTCCACTGTGTGTTAAGGTTTTCCGCAGCAGACCAGAGCTGTACGTCAACACCATCTTATCTGAGATGGTGGATATGTTCAAACAGTCCACCGCAAAGAAAAATGGCAGAGCAGAGGAACAGCAAGCCGAATCAGGAGAAGTTTCATGTGAGGTGTGTAGTGAAACCAAGATGAAGGCTGTGAAGTCCTGCCTGCAGTGTCTGACTTCCTACTGTGGGACTCACCTGGAGCCTCATCGCAGAGTCACAGGCCTGAAAAGGCATCAGCTGATTGATCCTGTAAAGAACCTTGAAGACAGAATGTGTAAGGAGCATAACAGACCTTTAGAGCTCTTCTGCAAGACTGACCGGATGCCAGTGTGTGAATTTTGCAAGCAGTCCAATCACAAGGGACATCTCACCATTCCTTTGAAAACAGAATATGAGCAAAAGAAGGCCGAAGTGGAAGCAAGAGAGGGTAAAATTCATCAGATGATCAGAGAAAGACAAAAGAAAATAAACAACTTCAGAGAATTGTTAACGTGCAGCAAGGAGGCTGCAGAGAGAGAGAAAACAGTAAGTGAGCAAATATTTGACAGTCTGATCAAGTGTATAGAAGAAAGTCGGAATCAGCTCGATGGTGTGATCGAAGGGATGCAGAAAACAACAGAGAGCCAGGCTCAAGGCTTCATCAAAGAGCTGGAGAAAGAAGTGTCTGAGCTGAGGATGAACATCTCTGAGCTGGAGCAGCTCTCACACACTGGAGACCACCTCCAGTTTCTCCAGAGTTTACCATCCCTGAACCCTGTTCCACCCACCAAAGACTGGACCGAGGTCACAGTTCACTCGTCATACGAGGGGACTGTGAAGAAAGCTGTTGCTCAGCTGGAGCAGACACTCAGTAAAGAGATGAAGAAGCTGCACGATGATGTGGAGCTGAAGAGGGTTCAGCAGTACGCAGTGGATGTGACTCTGGATCCCGACACAGCACATCCTAACCTCGTCCTGTCCGATGATGGGAAACAAGTATCTAGTTGTAACAAAAGGCAGAATTTCCCCGAGACCCCCAAGAGATGCATTTATTATGCAAATGTTCTGGGAAAGCAGGGGTTTTCCTCAGGAAGATTTTACTATGAAGTTCTGGTCAATGAAAAAACTCAGTGGGATTTAGGAGTGGCCAACGAGTCAATAAACAGGAAAGAGAAAAAGGCCCTGTGCCCCAGGAATGGCTACTGGACCATTCGGCTGAGAAATGGAAATCAGTACAAAGCTGTTGTTGGCCCCTCAATCTGTCTCAGTCTGCAAGCAGAACCACAGAAAGTGGGCGTGTTTGTGGACTATGAAGAGGGTCTGGTGTCTTTTTATGATGTAGGAGCAGCAGCTCTCATCTACTCCTTTACTGGCTGTAACTTCACTGAGAAACTCTACCCATTATTCAGTCCTTGTTTTGATGAAGGTGGTGCAAACTCCACCCCTCTGATTATCTCTTCTGTTCTTCCAAAACATTAGACGCAGTATTTATTTCTTCTTAGACAAACTACTGGTCAAAATATGTTCGTATGGCAAAAGAAGTCTGTGTGAATGAAATGACTTGGTGTGGTGGTGGGAATGTTGTGTTTGCTTCAGTGGAGTGGGCAACTTTAAATTCTGTGTTCTGTGTTTGTTTTAAAGCTGAAGCTGAACTCTTAAGTTCTGTACTAACTTATTTGTTTTCATATATTTTTGTTCAATAAATTATTCAAATATACAGTTTGCTTATCCTTGTCAGTATGCAGTATTTCAACTCAAAATGGGGAAAAGAAAAATCAACTCGTAGATCAGACAATTGAAGACACGAGAAAAGAAAAGTGTCATGGTCCGTTGGAGTGTCTGGAGGTTTTCCATCTGTGGCTGCGGGTCCTCCCCTTTTGGATGGGACCTCCCCTGCCTCACCTGCAATCCAATCTGCAAGCAATCAGCGGGAGAGCGATTTAAACCTGTGCAACCTGCCTTTCCTCGCCAGTTTATTATGCTCACTAAGGCGGTTTTAAGTTAGCACTCATAAGCCGAGAGGTCTCTTTAGCCTGGAGGCTGTAGGATCCATGTTTTCCAAGAACAACTTTACATTTGAATTACTCTGAGCACATAACGATTTTTCACTTTGCCTCAGTCCATTTTTAAATTAACTGTGACCCAGTTAAGACATCCTACATTTTTTACCCAAATCATAAAATATGTTTCATAAAATAGGAGAATGTCTCAGTTTAAGCTTTTGATATGATTTCTATGTTGTACTTTGAAAACAAATGTTTTATAAAATCAGTGCATTCTTCTTTTATTTACATTTGACATTGCCTCCCAGCATTTTCTCACTTAGGTCTCTAACATGATGCTTGGAAGGAAAAGTTATCTGCAACTTAGTCTATCAGTCTGGGAAGGTTTTAAAGCCATTTCCTTATAATTTAAAGTCCATCATTCTACAGGGACAAAGATACAAGTGGAGAAGCATGTTAAATGTTAGAACTGACAACAAAATACATCTTCATACCTCCACAGGTATGTTATGTGGACCAAATGCCTTTTTCTCTAGATCCTCTATATAGCTGTTCTCACTTCCTCCTTCTAATTTCCTGCACTTCCTGATTCACCATTCTCCATCTGTCCACTCATTTTCATCTTTTACCAGCCTCTCAAAGTACTCCTCCCACCTTCCCAGCACACACTTTCCACTCGTTAGTACATTTCCATCTCCATCCTTGATCAGGCTGGAAAGGATGTCCAGCAGGTTATGCTGGACATCCTTTCCAGCCTGATCTCTATCAATACGTCCCATTCTCCTCCCTTATGGTCCAGCCTCACATATAACTCGCTTTTCTTTGCCTCCTCTCTCTTTGCAGAACACCTAGCCTTCCAGTACTCCCCTCTATCCTTTCCCATCTCTTTGCTTATCCTTCATATTCTTTGGCAACCTCTTTCTTTGAATGCTTTTCTGTTCTTCCCCGTTACCCCACCATGACTCCTTGCCTTCTTTCCTCTGTCCAGAGGATACATCTTGGCAGTTTACCTCTCACCTTTGTGAGGAGATTTAAATCTTCATTCCTTTTTAAAATCTGAACTCCTTTTAGTCCCTGTTTCTTAGTGACTCCCTGCTTCACTCCGACCTCCCTCCTTCCCTTCATCGACTGATCAGTGATCATGCAAAAGAGCAGAGCAGAGCAGCACAGGTACAGGTTGGGGATTGATATCAGATGTTTTGCAGTTATCTGAGAGGGACAGGAAGGACAGCCCTTCTCTGTCAACCCTCACCACCGTCCTTGGAAGAGGAAATGATAGAACGGATGACTACTCAATGGAAGTGTGCAACTTGGAAGTCACTTTCAAAGATGAGGCATCTTTTTAATGAACTAAAATAAGTAGCAATCTCACACACCATTACAGAAACTTGCAAAAGGCTGCTGCGTTATTCACAAGCTGTCATCACAGGAAGCAGATCTGCGTTTTGGTTTGGCAGCTGACGCAAACCCCAATGATGCGCTTCATCTCTCAGAAATGAACCGAGGACCTTTCGCTTGTTAGGCGAATGTGTAAACCACTACAGTAAAAACCCAAAACACTGCAATGAAATGACTGTTATATGTTTATGTGCCCTGTGACACATGTAGTGGCATACATGTGCAATAGTGTAATCATCGTGATTCATTTGTTATAGCCGTGGCTTATGTTCTTTGTGATGAAATGAAACAGCCCGGTGTCAGTTCATACCTTAAAACTACTGTTGGGTAGGTGGGGTGGTTGGCTTAGGGGTTGGAGTTATGCTGGAAGGCTTTACACTGCCCTCTAATGGAAGTCCAGCTGACTTACACTGAACTAAATGCTTTCAAATCACTCATGGTAGTTTTATAGTGGCATTGTAAAGCGCTTTGGGTGCCTTGAAAAGCGCTATATAAATCCAATCCATTATTATTATTATTTATATTATTATCAGCTGAAATATAAACCTGTGCAGAGGTTTATATTCAAATCAAATAACCAGGGGATGATTTAAAAATGGGAATAAACAGAATGAATGAGGGCTGCATTCACAAATATTTATTCGTAATATTTGGACATTGTTGTCCTCGGGTGTGTGGATGAGAGGAGCATGACAGCTGAAATGACAGACTTTATCGAGCTTGTCCAGACTGGAGTCACTCAGTCCATCATGACCATATAAAAATACATGTAAACCAGCCCTTTTGGGGTTTTTTTTGCTTTGCTGATGTTATTTCAATTATTTTCTCTAAGCTAGCCGCTCAGCATCGGCCTGCATTTGGATGTCTTCGACCACACCTTCACTTCGGAGCGTTCTACATGACACATTATTCCCATTGTGAACTTCTATGCAGTAACCAAAACACACACAACATGTGATGATCTCATTAAATTCAGTATAAACACGTAAACGTCACAACATTTGGTTTTGATAATAATGTGTCTTTGCAGCAAATACAAACACCTTACGTCACTTGTCCATTTGTCTTTATTTTGTGTTATGTTACATGTGAACATAAACTTCCAAGAAGTTATAGTTGCCATGGAGACACAGTAAATATATTCAGGTACTCGGATATGAAAAAAAACAAAACCCAAAGTGTGTGAGTATTCGGGGTGAGGAACAGTGGGAGCTGACCATGTGTACGCTGATGTAACGAAGAGTAAAACAAAACCAACTGTGTGAATTTAAAATCAATCAAAAAACAAAACAAAACATCATAGAACAAGGAAGAAGAACAGTGACCTAAAGCTATGAGCAAGAAAAAAAGGTAAACATGAATCCAAATATAAAAGAGGAATAAATAAAATGTATTAATTTACAGACACGGCGACAACAACTGACAGCACAGATGTTTATTTCCCTCTGAATTTGGTGCGTTACAGAGCGAGAGAGACGAGGACGACAGTGAAGAGGAGGGCTCTCGCTCCCTCTCTCTCCTGTGGCAGGAATCGGCATCCGGAAACTGAAAGGGTGCGTTTCTATGGCAACGCTTCAGGAGGGGAGGCAGGAGAAGCCAGGTGGGGTGGCGACCTGTGGAGCTCAGAACTCATTTCTAAGGCTTTGTATGGCACATCCACTCAAACAACAGAGTCCCATTTCACCCCAACTGCACCGCTCCCTTCATTATTACATCACCTTAAAGGGGACCTATTACACCTCCTCCCAATAACAGACGCTCATTTTAAACACGACCAATGTTTACGTAAGTGTGAGTCCACAGCTCAGACTTGAGACTGCTCTGAACACTCCCAAGTTTTCTTGAGGAGGAGGTGGGGCTTACAAACACAAAGTTAGTCTGTAGAAGACAGGGGTAGCCAATCAGAATTAAGTGGATGTTCAGGGAAAGTCCCAAGAGCTAAAACCAGCAGTTTCACACAAACAGCAGGAAGTGAGGGACAGAGTTAAGTAAGAATTATGAAATAATTCCATTAATAATTACTAAATGTAACTATAAAATACCAGAATAGGTCCCCTTTAATACTCTGGCTATATCTGTGCCCCTTCCCCCCCCCAAAAAACCCCACTGCTTATCCTCTCTTACCTCCACTTAATCCCCCCTCCACAGTCCCACTCTAAAAGGCACTGGTATATACTTATTTCTCCAAACTCTAACATCTAGATTCTCGATTTAAGATGAGCGATTGAGGCAATGACGATGCACAAAAACACAGATACGCACACGGGCCAGCCGGGTAACTCGGGGGGGGGG